CGAATTTTGACCAATCACCGACGATGTCATCTCAATACAGATTTACATTATAAGCGTATGTCATCTTTGAACCCTGGTGTTTCTCCCCCTCTTGGCTTCTTCATTACTTCTGTTGTATAACGCCACCTAATATATATTCGACTCGATTTACAAACACGTTCCCGGGCCTAGGGATCGATCATTCTGAACAGCGCGTTAGTGCGCTAGCGCGTTAGTGCGTAGCGCGTGTTTTCATTATAACCTTAGTATCATCAGGCATGGACTAGTGACGATTTTTCAGTTATCAAACAGCTTCACAGCAATAACCGACTTTTGAGCGCTCAATTCATTTCACTGGGCATATTTTATTTACCTTCCTTGAGGTTGATTACATTTTTACTGGAAATTCTTAGGAAATCTAGCAATTGTTGTATTTTTCACTACATTACCTAATTATTCAAAACATCCCCCGGGCAAGGTTTGATTTTGGGTAAGCTGCTACTCTTATTAGTCCCAGGGAATTGAGCATAGCCAGTGTTGGTATTAATTTGATAATATAAAGCCTCACAGCATTTTAAATCTTTGTGTGCCTTTGTAATTACTGTGAGTAGATCCTATTTGGAGTTTTGCATTACTTTCTTAAGTTTTTGTCCCATTTGCTACACAATGACTATCCGACCACCTTTCTGTTTTCATTGCAAATCAAACCCCTGGTCTTAGTCAGCTCCTATGTGGTCACTTTATCTGTATTACATGTAAACACCTTCTGAAAACATTTGATCATGATCACTATCCCGAACAGGAGATACATGCCTGTACTCATTGTATTGATGCGTATCTGGCTATTTTAACCCGTACAGAACCCTTCTAAGAATTTATCTTTTATTGTTTTTATGATGACAATACAACCCCCCTTTTGCCTGTATTGAACTAATTAGACAGGTCATTTTACCAAGTGAGGAAAACTGGCAGGCAGAATTACGGTTATCAAGTTACGTTATAGTTTGCATCGTATTTCCTGGATAAAGTGAATTTCATGAGTGTATTTGAGTGAAAAGAAAGTTACTTTTTGTTTTATTGCATAACGTACAGAAAATCTATATAGAATTGTGTAACCAAACAAATGTATATATCTTGAAATAGAGTTGAATTATATTCATTTTATATTATTTCCCATTACATTCTCTGTTGTGTTGAATGATTGTGTAAGGTGAATGTGGATATAGATCAGTGTTTGAAAAGACCCTCATTCCCATATATTTTACAATCTATTATCAAGCTAGACCATTTAAAATCCAGATACTTGATAGCTGGGTAACCCAGGACCACACTACCCAACACCCTGGGTTGCCACATAACTTCTAGAGTTTATTAGCTTTTCGGTGGCACTCTAGCATTCTGGCGGTCATCTTGCAAATTTTTAGATAACTCTTGTCATTACGATTTCAGGAAAACAACTTATAATTAATGGATTTACCTCAAATTTTCACACAATGTTGTTACATAGTAAGAAGTTTTAAAGCTGATTAACTTTTCGGCTATATTGCATTCTGGCGGCTACTTCGAGTTTTCTAGATAAATCTTGTCATGGCTATTCCAAGAAATCCACTTCGACGGATTTACTTCAAATTTACATGATAAGAAGTTCTAAAGCTGATTAACTTTTCGGCAGCCATCTTGCATTCTGGCGGACATTTTGGAAGTTTTTAGATAAATCTTGTCAAGCTTCCTTGCATCCAAGATAAATAAAGTATCTATATTATAAATGGTAATTTAATAACCTATTTAATCCGAAATCAGAATGAAGAAAGAAAAAAGAACGGAGGGGGAGTAGCTGATTTTTGCTAGAAAATTCAACAACTCTGGAAGATTTATTTTCTCAAGAGAAAGTTTACAATTGAATTGCTAAATGAGTAGGCGCAGTACACGGGGAAATGTGTTAGGTCTACTGGGATTTTTTTTAAATTGATGGACTTCTAAGATACAAGTCACAGCTATTGAAAGGCGCAGCGTCGCCAACGTGCAAATGTCAATGTATTTGCTATAAATCAAGCAACAGTGGTCTGCACGACCTGTAATTATTATATATGTGCGACGTTTTTATCTCCAAACGTTAGATAAAAAATATTTAAAATTGAATGGAGGGGGAGTGAACGGAGGGGGGGTTATATGTCTTAAAGGTGAAAGAAAGTATTGGTGTCGATATGGAGAACTGAATTCAACAATCTTTTTCTCTTAAACCAATTACTGAAAACATTCTTCGAAAAAACACGTTCCTTTATGTAATGTTAACTGATTGACAACAATTTAATGCAAAAATAATTTATATATATTTTATATAGCCTAACTGTTTTTGTTAGCATTTTTTGTTTTTTAGTGTAGTCGATTTTTGTTCCTTTTTACCATTTCTCGAGAATGAAATAAAATATTTTTCCGAAGCTTGTTTGAACAAAATAGCACATACAACATTTTCTTAGACTTCTTTCCAATATTATAGTTGTACAAAGAATATTTTGGTTGAATTAACAAAAAGTAATCCAAAACTTTAAACAACCTCCCCCCCCCCCCAAAAAATAGATAAAAACTAAGAGAAGCCTTTAATTTCATTAACAAGATACCTTTTAAATCAATCAAACTTTCCATTGTATAATTAAAATATTGAGAGACATAAACACGTTGTGTTGATGTCGTTTTGCTTCAATGAGGTTCGGATAGATGTTTCATTTCATTCCAAACATATGATACCAAGAACAAAAGAAGTGTCCGATGTTTTTTCTAAAACAATTTAGAGAAAAGTATATTTATCTACTGTATTTCAAATTATAGTTACCATTCAAAAGGTGATCATGAAATTAACAATGTGTAAAATTTTCCGAATATTTTAATGACAGGTTTAAGAGAAACGTGTGTTCAAAAAGTTCACCATATCGATCACCCATCCTTTCCGCGAATTCGTGTATTTGAAAAAGGAACTCAGTAACTCAGTAACAACTTGATGTTACAACTCTGAAAAGTAAAAATAGGGACATACAGGGTGACCGGAAAAAAAGGAGACCATTGAAGTAATCAATTTCTCCTAAACTAGACAAGTGCCATCAATGAAATTTTGCATACACTGGAACAGTTATATGGAAATTTGTTACTGAAGGTTTCAATACAAGCATTCAACTGGTTCAGGAGCTATGATCATTTACATAACATGCTCCAAATAGGCACAATTGAGACCAACGCAGAGTTGGATTCATATGGCAAACTACCCTGACATGTTCTGCCCTCTATGGCATTATTATGGCATTACATATAGCAGTGATTGCCTTCTTTAGGTCAACAATAGTCTGAGGATTGTTTTGGATAGAGGATAGATTGTCTTTCAAATATCCATACAAAAAGAAATCAGCAGGATTCAAGTCTAGGCTGTAATGGCAATGAAGGGTTATCTGACATGTGGTTCATCATCCTGTTGCCAAAGTGCTGATTTACCAAATCTTAAGAGTCACTTTAGGTATTGGGCATAGTGCCATGTTACTAAAACCACTATATGGCACAATTAAATCCCATATGAAAACCAAGGGCTGCCCAAAACCTCCTTAGGATGATACTGTAACTGAGTGGGACCACTGAGTCAGAAGCCATAGGTCAGATAAGCTTCGTCTCCATACACCTCAAATTTGAATCCACCTGATTTCTTTTTGTGGGGCAATTTGAAAGACAATGTGTACCAAAACAATCCTGAGACAATTGCTGACCTAAAGGTGGCAATAAATGCTAAATGTAATGCCATAACAAGGTCGGAATATGTAAGGGTATTTGCCAAATGTATCCAGCTCTGCGTTGGTCTCAATTGCGCCTATTTGGAGCATGTTATGTAAATGATCATAGCTCCTGAACCAGTTGACTGCTTGTATTGACACTTTCAGGAACAAATTTCCATAGAACTGTCCTGATGTATGCAAAATTTCATCGATGTCACTAGTCTATTTTAGGAGATATTGCCTATTTCAATGGTCTCCTTTTTTCCGGTCACCCTGTATATGGAGTTATTGTAAATAAAGTCAAGTCTTTCATCTCTTACCATATGTCTTATAGACACATTACCCCCTCCGTTCACTCCCCCGCTCCGTTCAATTTTAATAATTTTCGATTATTTTTTATAAAACGTATGGTAACGTGTTTTACAAAACCAGCGATGACAATAGTTTTTAATAGATCTTTTATCTTAGAACTCATTTAGCCAACTCATTTAGCCAATCAATTGTAAAGTTTCTCTTGAAAAAACAAATCTCCACGATTTGTTGAATTTTCTATCGAAAATCAGCTACTTCCCCTCCGTTCATTTCTTCCGATCACCGGGCGTGTCTGTGGTTGCAGGATTATTGCAAAATATGTGCTTGTGGTCCGAACAATTCAGGGTTAAAGTGCCTGGGGAAAGTCAGCTTTCCCTTTACGATATAAAACATATTTTTAAGCACATTATAATAAAAGGTTGCCTTTTTAGTGGAAAGGTCAACATATTTGAAAACGTATTTTGATGGGCGTTTTTTCCCTTTAATATCAATAAATTTGATTTGCTTAATCATCATAATATATTTTTTCTGGAGACAAAGAGTGGATCCAAAAGATACGTTTTCCTCATGATCAATGATGATCAATGATCATATGAAATTGTTTATCATAACCTAGGTGGGTCTTTCTGAAATAAAAACCGAATTCCAACCATCCCAACTGAGCCACCTTACCCCGATCACCTACATTAACAATTTGTTATACCCTTGTTATACCCCTGTTTGAAAATGAGTGTCTGTCCATAGCGAATTCACTTTCCAAAAGCTTTACTCAAGTTAACATAAAACTCTAGAAAGTGTCTGAAGCAAAATGATACCCTCAAACCTTTATTCCAAGCCGAGCACCAAAATTGGAACTCGGGCAGCATCATTGAAATATTGTGTGAATTTGTTACTTTAAGAAACAATGAACGGTGCTAGTGAGAACTAGTCCCTTTAACCTTGAATGCTTTATTCTAGTCGTAGGCCTAAGTCTCTGGACGGAATGGGGAGAGTGTTCAAAAACATGTGGAGATGGAAATAGATCTCGTACTCGAAAATACGATAATCCAACACCAGCTGATGGAGGGAATGATTGCAATGACAACAATGCTCTAATGGAAACCCAGTTCTGTAAACTTATAGATTGTCCTGGTATGGCAATTATCTACCTGACTTCAGATTTGAACTTCCTGCAGCTTGTTGATGACATCTTGAAAAAACAGAAGGACATTCAATTTTCAAAGTGACGGATCCCAAATCTGACGCCAGTTATGATTATGAACTTCTTGCAGTTACAATAAAATTTAAAAAAAACATAACCTCCACCCTTATTCAGAGGTCTGACAGTCCACAGTAATGTCGAGATCAGCATTACGATACTAGAACATAATGCATTTAAATGGAAATTAAAATAGCAGTGTTACATAGAACTGTTTTTTATTCACGAGAAATATTTTTTAGGTTTCTTGTTGTTCATCTTAACAAAGGCTAATTTTGCTTTTAGTCAATGGGGGTCTTGGTTCTTGGACAGCATGGGAACAATGTTCTACCACGTGTGGAGATGGAGAGAAAATCCGCACCAGGGAATGCAATAACCCTGCTCCAGCTTACGGTGGTGATGAGTGCATTGCCGATGATTTGACAGAAAAGATGTCCTGTAAAATTCAAGAATGCCCTGGTATGAAACTTCAGTATTGGGAATCCTTGTATGAATTGTAATTTAGCATATACTTTCCCGTGGACGCTTGCGTATTCATTGAAACGAGGCATGAGAAGCATTTTCCATTCACTCACAATAGTTTGGTCATGCTGTCCATCATTATTTTTTCTTAGATTACAAACGAAAGGCGATTTATCTTGAAGGATATTTTGTAAAGAACGTGTAAAGACTACTATATACAATTTCTGGTTTAATGAGACTGACAGTTTTTAATAACTTTATCTTCAAATATGATCAAACGAGAGGAATAACGTCAAATACATTTGTTCCTTGGCAAGTCTTATTTTATTCCTAGTTAATGGAGGTCCTGGTACATGGGCACAATGGGAACAATGTTCTACCACGTGCGGAGATGGAGAGAAAATCCGCACCAGAGAGTGCAGTAACCCTGCTCCAGCTTACGGAGGAGATGAATGCAATGCCACTGATTTGACAGAAAGGATATACTGTAAAGTTCAAGAGTGTCCTGGTATGACAATTAACCATTGGAAATGCAGATGAATGCAATATTTATGATTTAACAGAAAATATATCCTGTAAGGTTCAAGAATGCCCTGGTACAAATCTGAAAAAATAATACCATAATTGTGATCTACTCCTAAATTCCTTCAGTTTGAGTATAATAAAGCCATACTTTGAAGGGATCGAAAAATTATTGCGAAATCGTACATTAGACGGCCATTTCGAATTTTACGAGGCTCGAATCAGAAAAAAGGTACAATATTTGCAATCTACTCTTAATTGGCTTTCATTTGAGTATACTAAAGCAATACTTCAGAAAGATCTAAACATTAGCAAGAATTTCTGATGAAAAACACAGAATATACAGGGTGGGCCAAAAAAGCGCCACTTTTTTTCAAGACACTACAACTTTTTTATTTTCCAACCTACATACCCCAAATTTTGCAGTTATATAGTGCCAAGGGTTCTTAGTAATAACATAATGTAACAAGTCCTCCAACTTGGATTATAGTTGATCTAAAAGTGGAGTTCTATTGGTCCGCCACCCTAATTGATGATAAATTTTAGTTATAGTCGCCTTGCTGATATTGCAGTATCAATGAAATGTTCGCTAAGTTTTTTCAACCTGTCTTAATTGCCAGCTTTAGTTGAGCAATTTTCTAGATTGGGTGCCTTCATACAATCTCCTGGTGACCTTCCCATACCCTATACTCACTGGGGTTTGCATCAGGGCTATTAGCTTGGCGATCATCAGGCCATATCAGATCAGGAACATTTTGCAAATTATGCCTATTTCTCATGGCACACCACATGTTTAAGTGAGACGCTGGTGACATAATTTAGTCAAGTAAAAGTGTATAATTCATGATCAATGGCTAGATAACAACCTCAAGTTTCATTTGGTATGCAAATTATGATTTAATATCAAAAATTAAAAAGGTTATGGCTTTTTTTGGCCCACCCTGTATGTGAAATAGATAAATGTTGTGAATACTAGTATACTACCAACATTTCAAACAATAATATTAATTACTTTGGTTTAGAATGAAAAATTTATGATTTTTGCAAAAAAAGTCCCGTCATTTTTAAAGCGGCAGCCATCTTGAAAAAAAATGTTTGCGTAAAACTATTCACCAATATACACATGAAGAAAAACCGTCTACAAGTATTTGAGTTACTTGGACGGACGGACGGACGGACGGACGGGCGGACGGACGTCATTTGTTGTTGCTGCATTAGTTTCTTCATTCATTGTCTTCTTTCTTTGTCTTGATTTGATTGTGATGTTATCTTTCTTCAGGGTCCAAAGACTGGAGACTGCGCGTAGGTGGGTTAAACGTTTTGATCCGGCCGGAAAACTCTCCCCTTCCCCTTACTGATGTTCTTATGTTGGTCTGTCTTCTTAGTTTACCCTCTTTGCGGAGAAAATACTATCATATACATTTGTTAATGTTCTCTTCTCTAATTAATTTTCCAGTGCTTCATGATGATATTCTCCTGCATATTATATTTAATACATATCCATTTATTTCTTGTTATAGCTTTCTTAGTATACGAATTTAGTATGTTACTCCTGTAACCTTGACATTGTAGTTTATTTCCCAGGCTGGTAACTCTGTTGCATCTTCCAATTGACTGCAGATTCTTGAAATCCTTATTATTTGTGATATAAATATTCCATAGGATTGGTTTCTAGGAATATTTCCGGATAAATCTGGATATGAGACTATTTGGAAATTGAAATTTTCCCTTTTGTCGTATAGTTTTGTTGTGATTTGTTTATTTACTATATTCATTTGTATGTCCAGAAAAGTTGTTTCTGTATACGGACAGACGGAGGGACTGACTGACGGACGGAGGGCTTCACTATATCCCTACCGAACTTCATTCGTTGGGAAAATGAGCAACAGCATTTGTTCCTTAACCAATGGTAATTTTTTGTAGTTAATGGAGGTCCTGGTACTTGGACAGCATGGGAACAATGTTCTACCACATGTGGAGATGGAGAGAAAATCCGCACCAGAGAGTGCAATAATCCTGCTCCAGCTTACGGAGGAGATGAATGCAATGCCACTGATTTGACAGAGGGAATATACTGTAAAGTTCAGGAGTGTCCCGGTATGACAATATACCATTAGAAATGTAGATGAATGCAATATTTATGATTTAACAGAGAAGATATCCTGTAAGGTTCAAGAATGCCCTGGTATGACAATAAACCATTTGAAATGCACGAGCATATTGTAACACTGTCTGCACCTTTCGTAATAACGCAACAGCATTTGTTCCTTAACCAATGCTAATTGTTTTTTAGTTAACGGAGGTCCTGGTACTTGGACAACATGGGAACAATGTTCTACCACGTGCGGAGATGGAGAGAAAATCCGCACCAGAGAGTGCAATAATCCTGCTCCAGCTTACGGAGGAGATGAATGCAATGCTACTGATTTGACAGAGGGAATATACTGTAAAGTTCAAGAGTGTCCCGGTATGACAATTAACCATTAGAAATGTAGATGAATGCAATACTGTATGAGTGGTAATTTTGCCTAATCATTTAATTTGCCTATTTTCATAATTTTTGCCAGGTTCGGAAAATTAAATGTCGGAAATATTGTCTTTATAATGTTATCCAATGGGAGGTTTCTTGTCATTAGGAAAATGATGAAATTTGACCATTCGGAAAATTAACCACTCGGATTAAATACCACTTATACAGTATTTATGATTTAACAGAGAAGATATCCTGTAAGGTTCAAGAATGCCCTGGTATGACAATAAACCATTTGAAATGCACGAGCATATTGTAACACTGTCTGCACCTTTCGTAATAACGCAACAGCATTTGTTCCTTAACCAATGCTAATTGCTTTTTAGTTAACGGAGGTCCTGGTACTTGGACAACATGGGAACAATGTTCTACCACGTGCGGAGATGGAGAGAAAATCCGCATCAGAGAGTGCAATTATCCTGCTCCAGCTTACGGAGGAGATGAATGCAATGCCACTGATTTGACAGAGAGGATATACTGTAAAGTTCAAGAGTGTCCTGGTATGACAATTAACCATTGGAAATGCAGATTCATGCATGTTTATGATTTAACAGAGAATATATACTGTAAGGTTTAAGAATGCCCTGGTATGTGTCACAGGGTCGGGTTCTTATTTTTAAATCACAGAACAAACAGTATATAGTTTTACTGAAATATATTTACAAAGCAAATTAACTAATTAATTAAAAATCAATGCTAGCTTCTAACTAAGTTCGTTTGAACTATTATAACTTTATCTTTACATATCAGTATAATGTTTTACTCAAAAACAGATACAACCAACCTTCACAAAGTATACATGTACATAATATTTACAATGTATACATGAGATCATAGATTGTCCTCTATAAAAACTATTCTATTATACGTATAGCAGTGTTTCTTAATTGTACGGAATGATCACCCGTAGCATGTGTAATAGATCAGTAGAAATCATGTAGTCTTCTGCAGTATGTAGAATGTAGAATTAACGATATCCGTTTCGATAATGCGTAGGTCTCTCAAAATGGTATTATGATATTTGAACGTATCACAAGTTGAAGTCTACTATTTACAAATCGCTCCATGCACCATGAATACTGTACAGCTCATAATTAATGTTCACTAAATGCTGAGTATTCTATTATGGATTAATCACTTCAGCATTTAACACTAGAAAATCCACTATCTTTCACAAATGTCAATAATATCAATAGTATTCTGTTCACTTTATACAAGGGTCGTTCAAAAAGTTTTTCACGAAAATCCTATACTTACAAAGGAAATTAACTAGTTAATTAAAAATCAATGCTAGCTTGTAACCAAGTTCCTTTGAACTATTATACCTTTATCTTTACATATCAATATAATATTTTACTCAAAAACAGATATAACCAACCTTCACAAAGTATATATGTACATAATTTTTACAATGTATACATGAGATCATAGATTGTCCTTTATAAACACTACTCTATTATACGTATAGCAGTGTTTCTTAATTGTACGGAATGATCACCCGTAGCATGTGTAATAGATCAGTAGAAATCAAGTAGCCTTCTGCAGTATGTAGAATGTAGAATTAATGATATCCGTTTCGATAATGCATAGGTCTCTCAAAATGGTATTATGATATTTGAACGTATCACAAGTTGAAGTCTCCTATTTACAATCGCTTCATGCACCACGAATACTGTACAGCTCATAATTAATGTTCACTAAATGCTGAGTATTCTAATATGGATTAATCACTTCAGCATTTAACACTAGATAATCCACTTTCACAAATGTCAATAATATCAATAGTATTCTGTTCACGTTATATGTTCATAGCACAAATAAGATTTTCGGCGAAGTTGCGATGTCACACTACACAAACACAGTTATTTTACTTTCTCGACGTATATGAGGCCCGATCAGAAAGTAAGTAACTAACTGCTCTCATTTCGTCATACTTTATTCAATCACATTCAAATTTTCAGAGATGATGGAGAAAATATTACCCTATTAAAAAAGACCAAGGACAAGGGGTTAGCGTCAATTCCATTGTTATTGCTGTTGCTATGGTGACAATTGTTTTCGGTAGGCAGGGCACCCTGTTTTAAGTGGCGTTTGAAGATAATTTGTACAGTTTTTCTATACGTTTTAATACCTCCAAATATATCAAATTCAAATGTAAGACTACATTTTAACACATAGTCCTTCAAATTAATCGCCACCAAAGTCAATGCAGTTGAGGCAATGTCTTAAAGAAGTGCAACGTGGCACCATTCAATGACTGCAAACTGCCATTGAAAGCTATAATGATGGCCTTATTGCTGTCCAAAAGGACTCTCCGTAACAACATCTTTGCATTTGGAAAAAAATTAGTCACGTGGGGCCAGGTCTGGGGAATAGTGAGCCTTGGGTAGTTGTGTGGCCATGGAAAATGCTTAATCTACTGTATCTTCGGTGATGTTGATTCTGTGGAGGTGGACCATTGTCATCATGGCAGTAAAGTCCCCCTTCAACAACATTTGACTGGATTGAAACTGTGACTGAATCATGACCATCATTATGATAGATACACCCTTGATATCTTTGTGTCGATGACTTATAAATGAGACAATGGAGTGTAGTTACCATTGTGATAATACATAGAACAAATTATTCAGTCTTACATAAAAAACGTTAGGTCATTTGGAGGAATACAGCATGTAAAAAACTCTACAAACCATCTTCCAAAGCAGCTTACAAAAGGGTGCCCTACCTACCCAAAACAATAATCACCATAGCAACAGCCATAACAATGGCATTGACGCTAACCCATTGTCCTTGGTCTTCTTTAATAGGTTAATATTTTCTACATCATCTGTGAAAATTTCAGTGTGATTGAATGAAGTATGAAAAAATGAGAGCAGTTGGTTACTTACTTTCTGATCGGGCCTCGTAAGTCTTCACTTTCATCACTATCACTGCACAGGAACGCTGAATTTGAAAGAAAACTAAACTTTAGAACAATTGAAATATAAAAATAGCAAAACTGACCAGAACGTGTTGAAGGTTTGACTATAATAAACCAAGTAAACTAAATACAAATAAAAATAAAAGATAAAAGGTTAGAATTGTTCTAATCTAAATAAATATTTACCTTAGACATTCTAAAACTTCACCTAGCCACATACACCTGCACATGTCTGTAATATAACTAGGTTTGAATGAGAAATTAAACTGAGCCTATAATTGGCTAAGGTAAGAACTGAGTGTACAAGTAATTAGTTAACAATAAAAAGACTTAAAGGACTTATGTATTTTATGTGATGACTTAAAGGACCTGTACATATAATGTGACAGTATTACAATAAACCATTTGAAATACACGAGCATATTGTAACACTGTCTACAGTATCCTTGTAAAAGCGGCTCCCAAATGTCGAGATCAGTTTACGATACTAGTACATAATGCATTTAAATGGAAATTACAATAGTACTGTTACATAGGACTGTTTTTTATTCACGAGAAATATTTTTATGTTTCTAGTTGTTCATCTTAATTTTGCTTTCAGTCAATGGAGGTCTTGGTTCTTGGACTGCATGGGAACAATGTTCTACCACGTGTGGAGTTGGAGAGAAAATCCGCACCAGGGAATGCAATAACCCTGCTCCAGCTTACGGTGGTGATGAGTGCATTGCCGATGATTTAACAGAGCAAATGTCCTGTAAAGTTCAAGAATGCCCTGGTATGACTATACACCATTGGAAATGCATGAGCATATTAATTATAACACAACCTGCACCTTTCCTAATAACACAACAAAATGTGTTCCTTTACCACTGGTAATTGTTTTTTTAGTAAACGGAGGTCCTGGTTCTTGGACAGCATGGGAACAATGTTCTACCACGTGTGGAGTTGGAGAGAAAATCCGTACCAGGGAATGCAATAACCCTGCTCCAGCTTACGGTGGTGATGAGTGCATTGCCGATGATTTGACAGAAATGATGTCCTGTAAAATTCAAGAATGCCCTGGTATGAAACTTCAGTATTAGGAATCCTTGTATGAATTGTAATTTAGCATATACTTTCCCGTGGACGCTTGCGTATTCATTGAAACGAGGCATGAGGAGCATTTTCCATCTACTCACAATAGTTTGGTCATGCTGTCCATCATTATTTTTTCTTAGATTACAAACGAAAGGCGATTTATCTTGAAGGATATTTTGTAAAGAACGTGTAAAGACTATATGCAATTTCTGGTTTAACGAGACTGACAGTTTTTAATAACTTTATCTTCAAATATGATCAAACGAGAGGAATAACCTCAAATACATTTGTTCCTTGGCAAGTCTTATTTTATTCCTAGTTAATGGAGGTCCTGGTACATGGGCACAATGGGAACAATGTTCTACCACGTGCGGAGATGGAGAGAAAATACGTACCAGAGAGTGCAACAACCCTGCACCAGCTTACGGAGGAGATGAATGCAATGCCACTGATTTGACAGAGAGGATATACTGTAAAGTTCAAGAGTGTCCTGGTATGACAATTAACCATCGGAAATGCAGATGAATGCAATATTTATGATTTAACAGAGAATATATCCTGTAAGGTTCAAGAATGCCCTGGTATGACAATAAACCATTTGAAATGCCTGAGCATATTGTAACACTGCCTGCACTTTTTCTTACTAGATAACGGCAACTCCGCGGAGTAGCTAATCCGAAAGAACAAAATATCAATTACCGAATTCCAATCAACTGTACTCATTACTTTGGTTAAATTGAAAAAAATAGATTTTAGAATTGCGAATTCCTGCAAAAGCAGCCATTTTGAATTTTCTGAGGTACAAATCTGAAAAATAATACCATAATTGTGATTTACTCCAAAATTCCTTCAATTTGAGTATAATATAGCCATACTTTGAAGGGATCGAAAAATTATTATAAAATCGTACATTAGACGGCATTAGACTGTAAATGTCAATAATATCAATATTATTCTGTTCACTTATATGTTCATAGCATAAATAAGATTTTCGGCGAAGTTGCGATGTCACACTACACAAACACAGTTATTTTACTTTCTCGACGTATAAGTCTTCACTTTCATCATTATCACTGCACAAGAACCCCGAATTGGAATCTAAACTTTAGAACAATTGAAATATAAAAATAGCAAAACTGACCAAAAAGTGTTAAAGGTTTGACTATAATAAACCAAGTGAACTTAATACAAATAAAAATAAAGGATAAACGGTTAGAATTGTTCTAATCTAAATAAATATTTACCTTAGACATTCTAAAACTTCACCTAACCACATACACCTGCACATGTCTGTAATATAACTAGGTGTGAATGAGAAATTAAACTGAGCCTATAATTGACTAAGGTAAGAACTGAGTGTACAAGTAATTAATTAACAATAAAAGGACTAAAGGACTTATATATATTATGTGATGACTTAAAGGACCTGTACATATAATGTGACAGTATGACAATAAACCATTTGAAATACACGAGCTATTGTAACACTGTCTGCACCTTTCCTAATTAGAAACAGCATTTGTTCCTTAACCAATGCTAATTGATTTTTAGTTAATGGGGGTCCTGGTACTTGGACAGCATGGGAACAATGTTCCACTACGTGTGGAGATGGGGAGAAACTCCGCACCAGAGATTGTAACAACCCTGTACCAGCTTACGGTGGAGATGAATGCAATGCATATGATTTAACAGAGCAAATGTCCTGTAAAGTTCAAGAATGCCCTGGTATGACTATACACCATTGGAAATGCATGAGCATATTAATTATAACACAACCTGCATCTTTCCTAATAACACAACAAAATTTGTTTCTTAACCACTGGTAATTGTTTTTTTAGTAAACGGAGGTCCTGGTTCTTGGACAGCATGGGAACAATGTTCTACCACGTGTGGAGTTGGAGAGAAAATCCGCACCAGGGAATGCAATAACCCTGCTCCAGCTTACGGTGGTGATGAATGCATTGCCGATGATTTGATAGAAAAGATGTCCTGTAAAATTCAAGAATGCCCTGGTATGAAAATTCAGTATTGCATCCTCCGATCACAGGGCTTCAAAATCCAGAATATATTCTTTCTTTTTACCCCCTGCGATAAGCAGTTACCATTTCCCCGATTAAGAACTTGCAATCTGATTGGCTGTCGCAACACTACGGCAGAAATCATGTATAAGTCATTGGGCATAATTAGATCACGTGATTCAGTTAAATCAGGCGCTTCCAAATTGGTTATAGCAGGGGGAGGAAGGAGGTACGGATTCTGGAAACCTGCTTAGGAGGATGTCAGTATCGGGAATCTTTAAATGTATAATAATACATGTAATATAGCATATACTTTCCCGTAGACGCTTGTAGACTATTGCGTATTCATTGAAACGAGGCATGAGAATCATTTTTCATTCACTCACAATAATTTGGTCATGCTGTCCATCATCATTTTTTCTAAGATTACAAACGAAAAGCGATTTATCTTGGGGAATATTATGTTAAGAACGTGTAGCATTTTTCCTTAACCAATGCTAATTGTTTTTTAGTTAAGGGAGGTCCTGGTACTTGGACAGCATGGGAACAATGTTCTACCACATGTGGAGATGGAGAGAAAATCCGCACCAGAGAGTGCAATAATCCTGCTCCAGCTTACGGAGGAGATGAATGCAATGCCACTGATTTGACAGAGAGGATATCCTGTAAAGTTCAAGAGTGTCCTGGTATGACAATTTACCATTGGAAGTACAGATGAATGCAATGTATATGATTAAACAGAGAAGATATCCTGTAAGGTTTAAGAATGCCCTTGTATGACGAAAACACAATTTGAAATGCATGAGCATATTGTAACACTGCCTGCACTTTTTCTAATAAGCAACAGCATTTGTTACTTAACCAATGGTAATTTTTGTAGTTAACGGAGGTCCTGGTACTTGGACAGCATGGGAACAATGTTCTACCACGTGTGGCGATGGAGAGAATATACGCACCAGAGAGTGCAATAATCCCGCTCCCGCTTACGGAGGAGATGAATGCAATGCCCCTGATTTGACAGAGAGTATATCCTGTAAAGTTCAAGAGTGTCCTGGTATGACAATTAACCATTGGAAATGCAAATGAATGCAATATTTATGATTTAACAGAGAAGATATCCCATAAGATTCAAGAATGCCCTGGTATGACAATAAACCATTTGAAATGCCTGAGCATATTGTTACACTATCTGCAGCTTTCCTAATAAGAAACTGCATTTGTTCCTTAACAAATGTTTATTGATTTTTAGTTAACGGGGGGCCTGGTACTTGGACAGCATGGAAACAATGTTCTACTACGTGTGGAGATGGGGAGAAACTCCGCAACAGAGAATGTAACAACCCTGTACCAGCTTACGGTGGAGATGAATGCAATGCATATGATTTAACAGAGCAGTTGTCCTGTAAAGTTCAAGAATGCCCTGGTATGACAATACACCATTGGAAATGCATGAGCATATTAATTAAAACACTACCTGCACCTTTCCTAATAATGTACCAGTATTTGTTCCTTAACCAATGGTAATCTTTTGTAGTTAACGGAGGTCCTGGTACTTGGACAGCATGGGAACAATGTTCTACCACATGTGGAGATGGAGAGAAAATCCGCAGCAGAGATTGCAATGATCCTGCTCCAGCTTACGGAGGAAAAGTATGCAATGCCACTGATTTGACAGAGAGGATATCTTGTAAAGTTCAAGAGTGTCCTGGTATGGCAATTAATCATTGGAAATGCAGATGAATGCAATGTATGTGATTAAACAGATAAAATATCCTGTAAAGTTCAAGAATGTCCTGGTATGACAGTAAATCATTATATTGTAACACTGCCTGCACTTTTCCTAATAAACAACAGCATTTGTTCCTTAACCAATGCTAATTGATTTTTAGTTAAGGGAGGTCCTGGTACTTGGACAGCATGGGAACAATGTTCTACCACATGTGGAGATGGAGAGAAAATCCGCACCAGAGAGTGCAATAATCCTGCTCCAGCTTACGGAGGAGATGAATGCAATGCCACTGATTTGACAGAGAGGATATCCTGTAAAGTTCAAGAGTGTCCTGGTATGACAATGTACCATTGGAAATACAGATGAATGCAATGTATATGATTAAACAGAGAAGATATCCTGTAAGGTTTAAGAATGCCCTGGTATGACAATAAAACATTTGAAATGCATGAGCATATTGTAACACTGCCTGCACTTTTTCTAATAAGCAACAGCATTTCTTACTTAACCAATGGTAATTTTTTGTAGTTAACGGAGGTCCCGGTTCTTGGACAGCATGGGAACAATGTTCTACCACGTGTGGAGATGGAGAGAAAATACGCACCAGAGAGTGCAATAATCCCGCTCCAGCTTACGGAGGAGATGAATGCAATGCCCCTGATTTGACAGAGAGGATATCCTGTAAAGTTCAAGAGTGTCCTGGTATGACAATTAACCATCCGAAATGCAAATGAATGCAATATTTATGATTTAACAGAGAAGATATCCCATAAGATTCAAGAATGCCCTGGTATGACAATAAACCATTTGAAATGCACGAGCATATTGTTACACTATCTGCAGCTTTCCTAATAAGAAATTGCATTTGTTCCTTAACAAATGCTTATTGATTTTTAGTTAACGGGGGTCCTGGTACTTGGACAGCATGGAAACAATGTTCTACTACGTGTGGAGATGGGGAGAAACTCCGCACCAGAGAATGTAACAACCCTGTACCAGCTTACGGTGGAGATGAATGCAATTCATATGATTTAACAGAGCAGTTGTCCTGTAAAGTTCAAGAATGCCCTGGTATGACAATACACCATTGGAAATGCATGAGCATATTAATTATAACACTACCTGCACCTTTCCTAATAACGTAACAGCATTTGTTCCTTTACCAATGGTAATCTTTTGTAGTTAACGGAGGTCCTGGTACTTGGACAGCATGGGAACAATGTTCTACCACGTGTGGAGATGGAGAGAAAATACGCACCAGAGAGTGCAATAATCCCGCTCCAGCTTACGGAGGAGATCAATGCAATGCCCCTGATTTGACAGAGAGGATATCCTGTAAAGTTCAAGGGTGTCCTGGTATGACAATTAACCATTGGAAATGCAAATGAATGCAATATTTATGATTTAACAGAGAGGATATCCCATAAGATTCAAGAATGCCCTGGTATGACAATAAACCATTTGAAATGCACGAGCATATTGTTACACTATCTGCAGCTTTCCTAATAAGAAATTGCATTTGTTCCTTAACAAATGCTTATTGATTTTTAGTTAACGGGGGTCCTGGTACTTGGACAGCATGGAAACAATGTTCTACTACGTGTGGAGATGGGGAGAAACTCCGCAGCAGAGAATGTAACAACCCTGTACCAGCTTACGGTGGAGATGAATGCAATGCATATGATTTAACAGAGCAGTTGTCCTGTAAAGTTCAGGAATGCCCTGGTATGACAATACACCATTGGAAATGCATGAGCATATTAATTATAACACCACCTGCACCTTTCCTAATAACGTAACAGCATTTGTTCCTTAACCAATGGTAATCTTTTGTAGTTAACGGAGGTCCTGGTACTTGGACAGCATGGGAACAATGTTCTACCACATGTGGAGATGGAGAGAAAATCCGCACCAGAGAGTGCAATGATCCTGCTCCAGCTTACGGAGGAAAAGTATGCAATGCCACTGATTTGACAGAGAGGATATCTTGTAAAGTTCAAGAGTGTCCTGGTATGACAATTAATCATTGGAAATGCAGATGAATGCAATGTATATGATTAAACAGATAAAATATCCTGTAAAGTTCAGGAATGCCCTGGTATGACAGTAAACCATTATATTGTAACACTGCCTGCACTTTTCCTAATAAGCAACAGCATTTGTTCCTTAACCAATGCTAATTGTTTTTTAGTTAAGGGAGGTCCTGGTACTTGGACAGCATGGGAACAATGTTCTACCACATGTGGAGATGGAGAGAAAATCCGCACCAGAGAGTGCAATAATCCTGCTCATGCTTACGGAGGAGATGAATGCAATGCCACTGATTTGACAGAGAGGATATCCTGTAAAGTTCAAGAGTGTCCTGGTATGACAATTTACCATTGGAAATACAGATGAATGCAATGTATATGATTAAACAGAGAAGATATCCTGTAAGGTTTAAGAATGCCCTGGTATGACAATAAAACATTTGAAATGCATGAGCATATTGTAACACTGCCTGCACTTTTTCTAATAAGCAACAGCATTTGTTACTTAACCAATGGTAATTTTTTGTAGTTAACGGAGGTCCTGGTACTTGGACAGCATGGGAACAATGTTCTACCAAGTGTGGAGATGGAGAGAAAATACGCACCAGAGAGTGCAATAATCCCGCTCCAGCTTACGGAGGAGATGAATGCAATGCCCCTGATTTGACAGAGAGGATATCCTGTAAAGTTCAAGAGTGTCCTGGTATGACAATTAACCATTGGAAATGCAAATGAATGCAATATTTATGATTTAACAGAGAAGATATCCCATAAGATTCAAGAATGCCCTAGTATGACAATAAACCATTTGAAATGCACGAGCATATTGTTACACTATCTGCAGCTTTCCTATTAAGAAACTGCATTTGTTCCTTAACAAATGCTCATTGATTTTTAGTTAATGGGGGTCCTGGTACTTGGACAGCATGGAAACAATGTTCTACTACGTGTGGAGATGGGGAGAAACTCCGCACCAGAGAATGTAACAACCCTGTACCAGCTTACGGTGGAGATGAATGCAATGCATATGATTTAACAGAGCAGATGTCCTGTAAAGTTCAAGAATGCCCTGGTATGACAATACACCATTGGAAATGCATGAGCATATTAATTATAACACTACCTGCACCTTTCCCAATAAC